TATGGAGTTCTAAGGTCACCAAAAACCCTAGTGTTCAAAGCAAGAAAAGAAAAAAGATACATCTTAAGCTGCCCGTTGGATTTGAGGAAATACTCAATAACTATCAAAAAATTGAGGACCCCGGGGATCTATTAATATGCAATGGTGTTGGTGCCGATAATGTTTTCCAATTTCTGGATGAACCAGGAAGGAACATCGAGCAGGGGGAACTCCCCTCCCATTCGGGAGACGAGTTCAAACAATAGAAATATAAGCATGAGTTTTATCTCTTGGAATTGTCGTGGAGCAGGGAATGCCGATTTCCGAAGAGCTTTTAGATCCATGATTGATTACCACAAACCTAGTGTGGTTGCATTACTAGAAATGAAACTATCTGACCACCATGTTATCATGGAGGACTTTGGCTTTTCAGGTCTAGCACAGGTTGCAGCGCAAGGAAACTCGGGAGGAATGGCACTAATGTGGAACAGTGATGAAGTCAATGTGGATCAAATAGGGGGAACCGATCAAGAAATCCATGCCATGGTGAAGGTAAAAATCTTCCCTAAAACCTGGTTATGCTCAATTATTTATGCTAGTAGCTTATTAGAGGAAAGAATTACTTTATGGAATAATTTAATAACAGTCGCAAATAATTATAAAGGACCATGGTTAGTACTAGGAGATTTTAATGAGGTCACTAGTGCAAGCGAGAAATTTGGAGGTCTACCTATTAATAACAATAGAATCACAAAGTTTATTAATTGTCTTAATACTTGCAAATTAATAGACCTAGGTTTTAAAGGCCCAAAGTTCACTTGGTTAAATAAGAGGAAAAAGAAAAAAAATGCTTTCATAATGGAAAGATTGGACAGATTCGTAGCCAACGGTGAATGGATTAGCATGTTCCTGATGCCAGTGTAAAACACCTTATAAGGACCCACTCTGACCACTGCCCCATACACTTGGACCTTATCAAAAGACCCAGCCGCAGTAACAATATATTTCGACTGGAATCTATGTGGTTATCTCACCCTACCTTTAAGGGGCTAGTATTAGATTGCTGGACAAACCAGCCTAATATTACAAATGCTATCAATAACTTCACTAAGAAAGCCATTGCCTGGAACAAGGATACCTTTGGAAATATTTTAAAAAAAAGAACGAAATCCTAGCTAGACTAAAAGGCATTCAAAAATCTCCAAAGTACACAACCAGCACATTCTTGTCTAATCTAGAAATTGAACTACTAGATGACCTACAAAAAACCCTCAAATTGGAGGAGGAATTCTGGAAAATGAAATCTAGAATCCAATGGATCCAAGAAGGTGACGCCAATACAAAGTTTTTCCATCTCAGAACCCTGCAAAGGAGAAGAAAAAATAGGATATTAGCATTAGAGATGAGACTGGGAATTGGTTTCATGACCCAAAGGAACTTACCCACATCATATCGGATTTCTATACTAAGTTATATACCACTAATCACAATTTATTCCAAAAAATACCATTATACATGCCTGCCCTATCCACAATTACCCTTACTGATCACCCCACCTTCACAAGGGTACCAGAAGAGGAGGAAGTAAAGAATGCCCTCTTCTCTTTTAAACCACTTAAGGCACCCGGCCCGGACGGTATCCATCCTTTCTTTTATCAAATATTTTGGGGAATAATTAGCAACCTCCCAGTCAACTTCTGTAAAGAATCCTTCACTAGTAAAAGAATGACCGAGGACATGAATAGAACTTTTGTGTGTTTAATACCAAAGCATCAGGATGCTGAAACATTAAGGCAATATAGACCCATTAGCCTTTGTAACACTGGCTATAAGGTCGTCACCAAAATTATCGTTAATAGAATAAAACCTCTGCTCAGCAAAATTATCCATCCTACTCAAACAAGCTTTATAAGAGGTAGGAGAGCCTCAGACAATGCCATTATAGTGCATGAAATACAAAACTCCTTCAAAAATTCAAAAGAAAAAAAGGGGAAAATGATGATCAAAATTGACCTAGAAAAAGCCTTTGACAAGCTGGAGTGGTCTTTCATTAGATTCTCCCTGAAATCCCTAAACTTTCCGGAAGACTTAATTGAGCTAATAATGTCCCGTGTATCCTCCACATCCACCTCCATACTCATAAATGGCTCAAATACAGAATTATTTACCCCAACTAGAGGCATTAGGCAAGGAGACCCACTATCCCCATACCTATTCATAATTTGCATGGAAATGCTCTCCAGACTCATCGACCATGAAGTTGACTGTTGCAGATGGGACCCCATAACCCTGTCAAAAAAGGGACCCCAACTATCTCACATGTTCTTTGCTGACGACCTCATTCTCATGATGGAGGCCAATCAAAAAAGCTGCGACTCCCTCATAGATACCCTGAATAAATTTTGTAGTTTTTCTGGCCAATCTATCAACTTCAGCAAATCCAGAATAATCTTTTCAAGAACACACACCCGGACAAACAGGCCCTTTTCAGCAGATGCCTTAACATGAAAATATCTAATTCAATAGGTAAATACATAGGGTTTCCCATGACAAACCAAAGGCTATCCAAAAAATACTTTCAATTCATCATTGACAGTCTGAACAATAAACTAAGGGGTTGGAAAACCCATTTCCTAAACCTAGCAGGAAGAACCACCCTCATTAAGGCAACCCTTGCAGCCATCCCTAACCACAACATGCAAATATTCAACCTACCAAAAGCTATCCAAAACAAGATAGACTCCATCCAGCAAAACTTTCTATGGGGAAGTACGGAGGAAAAAAGAAAATGCCACTTGCTTAATTGGAACAGGGTCACTACCCCAAAAAAATAGGGAGGCTTAGGGCTGGCTAAAACCTCTTGTAAAAACGATGCCTTCAGCACTAGTCTAGCCTGGAGATACTCTAACAACAAGGAAGCCTTATGGGTCCAAGTCCTGAGCAATAAATATGACAGGAAAGCCAATCATAACACTAGTTCCAATAATAGCCCATTATCCTCACATATCTGGAAAAACATATGTAAAGGAAACAAGTTCTGCCAAAAAGGGAATAAATGGATTATAGAAAATGGGTAAAGCATAAATCTTTGGAACAACCGATGGATAAACCATGGGAACACGCTAAGGAATAGTATCCATGGACCCCTCCAAAGGGGGGAAGAAGACATAAGGGTAAAATACATCATTAAGGATGGCCACTTCGATCTCTCAAAATTATCCTTCGAACTCCCAAAAGATATAACCCTAAAAATCCATAGCACTTATATCCAACAATCCCAGACAGGTAAGGATAGAATCTCCTGGAACTCCCCGGGCTACAGCCACTTCTCCATCAAGGCAGCCTATGACCTCATTACCCAAAAGGACAACCAGACTGAAGAAAACAACCTAGACTTTAAGTGGATATGGAGAAGCAACACCCTGAACAAACTAAAATACTTCATGTGGTTGCTCACCCTCAACAGACTCCCAACAGCCGCCTTCCTAGCAAAACGAAACATCTGCACATCTGATATCTGCACTATTTGCGGATCAGAAAAGGAGGACATAAAATACATGCTCTTCTACTGTGCTCATTCAAAGGAAATATGGAGGCAATGCCACATAAAACACAACTACCGACCTTCGGATAATGAATTCTCTATTTTCTACTGGCTAAAGCACCAACTAAACTCAAGCAAGCGCTACAATCAATACATTACTTGGCCTGTATTCTTACCCTTTCTCCTCTGGTACATATGGACTACAAGAAATGAAAAGATCTTTAAAAAAACAGCTCACGCCCAAACATTAACAAAGTGATTTATAATACCCAAGAATTCCTTTTTCTAAGCAACTGGAGCCCTAGCCGGGTACCAAAAAGAACGATCCTTATTAAATGGCAACCACCAGACATATGAATTTTTAAACTAAACATAGATGGATCATGCCTAGGTAACCCATGCAGGGGCGGAATAGGCGGGATTTTCAGGGATATCAACGGAAAATGGATACTAGGATTTAATATGGGATTTGCATACGCCACAAATATTCAAATGGAAGCCATGTCCCTAGTACAAGGTCTAAAATTAGCCATTCAAATGAGACTGACTCCTCTAGTCATTGAAACAGACTGCCAGGAACTAATCAACATGCTAAACAATGGAAATTGTCTTTATCAAAACATTATTGATGACTACAGGTCCCTATTATCTGAGGCGGGCACCCCTCCTTTGAAGCATGCATTCAGAGAAGCTAATGGAGTAGCAGACACCTTAGCCAAGAATGGATGCAGCCTGGACTCTTTTGCTAACTTAATGTTGTATTATTATCCGCCTGTATTTGCTATTTCAGTTTTTGATAGGGATGGGATAGGCACTGCGTGGCCTAGACAAATCTCTTATTGTAATGACTACTAAGTTTATGTTTTAAATAAATGCCTTTATGTACCAAAAAAAAAAAAATTGTGTGGTATAACAAATCCCAAGATTACTTTAACCGACATCACTAGTTTCAATCAAGGAGAGGATAAAAGAATTGGGATTTTGATTTATTTATTTCTCAAAGTGATGTCACTCTCAGAGAGGGTTCACTTGCTATGTTCATACAAGATATTTTTCTTCTAGCTTTTGACTTAATAAAATGTGATCGACTTGCAAAAATCTAATGTAGCAAGTTGGCTTGTATGAAATAATTGGTAATAGTAAGTCTCAGATCTACAATAGTCCAAGCAAACAAGAAGCTCAAAAATGAATAGTATTCCCTTCGGCCCACAATAAGTGACCAATTTACTTTTTAATTTTGGTCCAATAAGTATCTATTTAAATAATCAAGAAAGAATTCAATTTGTTTTTACAAGATTACCCTTATGTACATATCCCTAAAGAGTTTTCTTACTCCTCACATTAAATATTTAATTAAGGGTAGTTTAATCACACTAGGCATTTTTGTATAGAATTTAGTATTTTCTTAATGGGCGTGCCAAAAGCAACACTATTGTGGAACCAGAGGGAGTATAATATACAACACTATTCTTTAGTATTCCCCTATATAACCTTTAGTATTGGCACTAGACCTGGAGATGACTACAACGTGGAAGTAGTTTCAGCAAACATAATGACAGTAAAATACAGATAGATAGATCAAAATAGTATTGGCACTAGACCTGGAGATGACTACAACGTGGAAGTAGTTTCAGCAAACATAATGACAGTAAAATACAGATAGATAGATCAAAAATAGCACCAAACTTCTTTCACCCTACTCTCACCCCCTTTTCCTCTCGCAAAAATCTATCAGCCCAGCTTGAAATGCACCATCCAAACGCTTGAAACCAGAGATAATGCAACGTTTACCATCACCACTAGCCACCTTCTATCGTGCACATAATGCATTGAGCAGTACATGACCAAGCATGAGGTCCACAAAGTACTGGTGCCCAATCTGGCCATCCCTCCACTTCAGCTTGGCAGGAGCACGGCCATAATGCACCCCGTCATTGCATCGATTGTCATAGTGCCACGGATAAGTCATGTCAAAATCATCAATTACGCGATCAACTAAACCGTATGCCCTCAACTTATCCAGGACTACCCAATTGAACGCCTCCATTTTATTTGGATTGAATGCCAATCTTCTAGCGTATCCGCCTGTGGTGACTGTGGTCCTATATATGACTTCTGGTGGTGTCAACCCTCTCTGCCTTACCCCATTCAATAACTCAGCCCAGAATGATGCAGCATAGTCGGTGCCTTTAATGAAATGCCTAAGGCTAGACCAATACACTCCATCGTGTAAGCCCGAATTCATGATTATAGCGTCTGGAATAACATTTCCAGAGAAGTACCCTTTCAGAAGTTCTCTATAGTCAGCATCTGCCAACGAATTCAAGCCTCGATACTTGCCTGTCTCGTTAGGATGCCCGTTGTAAATGTTAGTAAATCGAACTGCTTGTGATGGATTCCTCGGGTTGCTGATGTTCATATCAACTCTTCTTGGGACATCCTTCATATTATTCACATCTAAAATGAAATTAAGGATGTTTCTCACTGTGTCACAGTGATTCGAATCACCCCACCAGAAAATCCAGCGATCCTTCAAACAATTCCAGGCTTCTTCACTTGAGAACATCTTGAATGAACAATGTGTTGAATATACCCAACCATTGCTCTCCAACAACCCCAATGGTCCATCACACCATGGTTTTTGGCATGGGAAATTTGGTTCTTGGCATCTGTATCGCCCGTCATTGCTAATTGGGCAGCTATTATTCTTAGCATGACGAGTCCATCGACCAGACCACACATCTCTAACAAGATCTGACTTCTTGCATTGAGATATTTCAGGTAATTCAACAGAGGATTTGGAGAACTTGACTGGGATCACGCGGAGAACCTTGTCATATGCAAATCTTTCAGGCGAAAACTTCAAGCCTTCATAATGTCGAAATAGTAGAATGACGGTAAGATTGTAATCCCCAGCAAAATTAGGATGGACTTGCAGGGAAAACTGGTAAGTACCATTGCCTAAATCTTTAATGGGTGGCCTAGACTTCCATGTTTCACCAGCAAGATCAGTCTCAAAATAATCACCACCCAAACAATGGGGTTTCGCAGAATCATCCAATGCATGGAAAACAAACTCGTGAATATCCCCTGTTGACAATTCAACGTTTTCGCGACCATCCAAAGCTGGAATCTTTACATCCACAGTTCTTGATTCCTTACATGGCTCACCTCCGGGAGCCAACCAATTAGTAAGAAGATTTGATGAATAGTTTGCCTCTAATTCACCTGAAATCCACCTATGAACTCTCGGCCTTGAAACCTCTACCGATTCTGGTTCCTTATGTGACACATTTGTCACTATTTCAAGACTGAAATCAGGTGCATTACCTTGATTCTCAGTCAAAATAATCTGTTGAGGTTCAACTTTAGGAGGTAAAGTTTCTCGGCCAAAATCTTGGTTCAGATTCTGGTGAGTATTTACAGAATGGGATCTAAGAGAAATATTGGTAAAGCTGAAATCTTTAAAGGTAGGACTAAACTTTCCTGAACTATTCACCTTCAACAGAACAAAATCTCTCTGAAAATTACCCACGTTCACACCATAAAATGACCATACAATCAAGAATCTAAGTAAAAGAGCCATCGTCAGTATCTTAAACCACCATTGAACCTTGGGGTTATTTGACCTCATAACCCACCCAATATTTGCAGCTTTCTCATGCATCTCAGCAGAAAACATATTGACAATGCTAACACAGAACTAACTGTACATGCACATTTCAAACTTGTCCAAGTTCGTAGAGATGATACAAAGAATGCAACGTGAGAGTTATTAGTATTACCACATTACAAGTAACAGTATATTAATCTGCACAAAATATCATAGTCTAGATCACGTGAGATTCATTAGTTTTGACCACATTACAAGTAAAGATATTATTTTGCACAAAATAATAATTATTGTCTAGATCAAGTGATTGAAACATAAGACATTCATTATATTTATTTCATTCATCGTACTATGCACAAATAAATTGGTGAATGAAAAGGTAAATCAATTAGTACGTTAATGATATTATACAAATAGCGTCGTTCGGTCATCGTGTAATAAAGGCATGTAATCAATCATACCTAAAAATAATAGACTCATTTTTAGAGAAGAGAGATTTTAACCTAACTAATACAAAAATTTACTAAAATGACATAACTGGAGTATAATCGTCGGTTGCAGTAACCATTTATCGAATAGTTTAATCAAAATAATGTAAACGCAAAGAGTTGATGGAATGGCGTGTAAGGCAAAATTAGTCTGTGACTGGCAGGCGGCAGCAGCAGATTCTTCTTATGAGAAATTAACTTGAAAATCAATGATAGCTTCACCGCAACGATACCATTTTTGTCGGTGCAGTACTACTTGAATGATCTTCTGCCCATGGCTGATGGCGTATATTCTATACAGAGAACTTTCTTCTTCGTCTGCTCTGTACATGGGAGGAGGGTGCGGAGAGGTAAAACTAGGGTTGTTCATGGTTCCGTTTGGAACGTTTTTCCCTAAAAAGAAACCAAATCAACTAAGTCGATTTTTCACATATTAGAACCAAATTAAACCAATTGAGTCGGGTTTTTATTGATTCGTTTATGTCGGTTTTTCGATTTTTTCGGTTATTTATCGGGGGTTTTCTTAAATATGAGACACACACTACCAAACGCATATTCGGGCGACTACATTTTCAACGTAACACTATCAAATCAATTGCGCTTTGAGAAATCTATCATTTCCAGATATATTGATAATAATTGAATCAAATGGTGATGAAGAATTTAAGTACTCAATTAAAAATCAATTATTTTTAATATAAAATAATGTTTTGTACTTAGTAAAAGAAAACTACCAATCAAACTAGAATGTAAAAGTAAAGAATTAGATTATTATAATAGCAAAGAACTAGACTAAAAATAAAAATGACTAATATGTACCATAAAATTTTAGAAACTTTATATAAAAATATACATATATATAGGTGTAATAATAAATTTAAATAGTTACTTTTATAGTTGGTTTGGTTCGGTTATTTTTTTTATTAGCAAAACCAAATCAAATTTGATCGGTTTTTAAACACTACTAGAAATCCGGAAAAAAACGACCACAAAAAGCGACCAAAGTTGGTCGCTTAGAGGTCAAAAAGCGACCAAAAAGCGACCAAACAGGCCTGGTCGATATTGTGCTGGTCCCTATACCTTAGGGACCAAAGTTGGTCGCTAATTAGCGACCAACTTTGGTCGCTTTATTATTTAAATAATATAAATTTAGCGACCAAAGTTGGTCTCTAATCTTAAATTACGTTTTTTTTTTATTATTAATAAATATAAAGCGACCAACTTTGGTCTGTAAAGAAAATACTATATTTTAAAATCTGGAAAATGGAGACCAAAGTTGGTCGCTATTGTTTTAATTTTTTAAATTTTTTCTAAACTTAAGCGACCAACATTGATCGCTAATTTTAAGAATTTAATTATTTTTTATATATAAGCGACCAGAGTTGGTCGCTATTCTCCAGAAAATATATATTTTTTTTTGTAGGCTAGCGACCAAAGTTGGTCACCTTTTGAGAAATCTGGGTTAATTAGCGACCAACCTTGGTCGCTATTGCCCAGAAAATTATTGTTTTAAAGAGAAAAGCGACCAACTAGCGACCAAAGTTGGTCGCTTTTCTTGGTATAATTTTGGCAGAAACTGCCTGTTTTGGCAGCTACACCACCTCCCAGCATACCAACATTCCTAAACAGGCATTTTATGCCAACAACAACAATAACAACAATAAACAACAACAACAACAACAACAATAATAAACAACAACAACAACAACAACAACAACAACAACACAATAACAACATTAACAACAACAAAGTATAAAGTTCAAAAGAACTAACACATTAAGCTAACCAAACTAAGTTAACTGTTATTACAAGCCCATTCGAAATCGATTGTATTTGTCCAGTTCAAAGTGTATAAAGTCAAGGATTGTTTTGTACATCATTATCATCACCGTCTGATGAACTTTCATCACCAAGACGGTATCCAGAAGGGTGTACTTGTCGAGGACAGGAAGAACGATCACGGGAAGGACGGGAGGAATGAGCACTTGGAGGACGGGAGGAATGAGCACGGGGAAGGCGAGCCTCTAGCGATGACTCACGAGACCGGGGAATCGGAAAAGAGCTAGAAGCTAGGAGAGATTTGATCTGCTCTTGCATGCCAGTGAACTGAGCATCTCTAAGCTTTTCTCTTTCCTTGGCCGCTTCTAGCTCGGATGTGAGCTTTGTCACAGTCTCCCGCATAGCGGAGAGGCTATCCCCATCAAGTAGCTCGGCTTGCGAGGAAGTCCCTATTCCTTGAACTCCACACTTATAGCGATGGAATTTCTTAGTAGAAAGCCCGTATACCTTCCCCCATTTTGGACCGCCAGCACCCTCCGTTCACATTCTTTCAGCATCCTCATCCGAAGGTTGGATTGGCTCGCCCGACTCATTAGGTGGCTGACTGCGTATGAATTCTGCAGTTCAGCTGTGAAGCGACCCTATAAGAAAAATTACATTGAATTAGTATTTCAAAATTTATATAAAAGTAAATCAAAATACTTAATGAAAAGTGAAAACTTACATGTACAGTCGAGGCTCGGCCCTTGACCCACCTTTCTTGATCCGTCTGTTTCTTTTTCTTTACAATATGAGTCTTGAATAGCTCATCTTGGTTCATCGGACGCCCCAACTTCTTTTCCTGAAAACTCATAAATTTTAGTTAATAAACAGAATAGATATACTTTGAAAATTAAAATAAATTAAGCAATTACGTACCATTCTTCTTTTTATTGTCCCTAGGCTGATCGCACCTCCAGTGTGCAAGTATCCTCCCTTCTCAGATGCGCGAGCTTTCTTTCCTTTTTCGCTCTTCTCTAAGAACTTTGCGGTAAGCCATTGCCTTTGCAAATCCTCCCATAAATTCTGAAGCAACCAATCAGGCTTCTGGTTCAACTTTCTAGCTTTGGAGAAACAATGCGACAACCGCTTGCGAGCTTTGAGATGAAAGTTTGCAGCCACTTCCGTGCTATAGCGGTGTTCCCATACACACTTGCTTTGTATTTCAAAAGTTAAGTATTATATGGAAATATCATAAATATAAAATAATTATACTGCTTAAAAGAACATTTATACCTTAAATTGATTGAAAATTGGCTCCTTCAGCGAGAATGGAAATTCACTCCAAGTCGCATAAGGGCCATCATAAAGCTTTCTGGTGGCTTTGGTGATTATCCTCGTAATAATATTACTGGGGATGAAACTGCAATTTAATAAAAAAAATACATTAATATCTAAGTAAGAACAGTACAAAACAATAAACGTAAAAATTATAAATAACTCTTACCCATCACCCTCAGGGACTATGATGATCCTGCCATATTGATCATAATGCACCTCCTCGTCATCATCAGCATCACGTCCGAAGCATGTATATCAGAGGCATGTGTGGAAGGTGTAGGCGGGTCAGAGCTAGTATCTCGCAGGCGAAGGCCTGAAATAGATGGAGTCCCTGATGAAGATGGCTGCGATCCCTGTGACTGCGACATAGCTGGATGGCCCACAAGTGGCTGTGACACTGATAGCTGTGACCCGAGTGGCTGTTACACTGATGGCTGTGATCCATGTGGATGTGACATGGATCGATGCGATCCATGCGATGCATATGGGTGCGATCCACGTGGTCGTGAGACAGGTGGACTGTATATCGGACGTATAGTCCTATGGCCCTGTGACGAAAGACCTGGTGTCTACACGAAGGTGTAGGGCTCGTGATGCTGTGGTAGCTTAGAATAGCCCTGGGGTGGAGGCAAAGACATAGGCATAGGCATAGGCATCTCTGAAGAGGGTGGAAAAGATTGAGTATTATCTTCTACCCTCCTCTTTGGTTTCCTAGCCTTTTCTCGACCCCGAGAACCAGTAGGGTCATTGTTACCTCGACCCTTGCCTGTCATCTGCATAATATAATACATATTTAGATTGAAACATATAAAGAAACTAGCTATAAACGAGATTTATTAAAGAAACCAACTTTTTTAAAGCTCATCGACGTATTGTTCCTCGTCGACAATTCTTCTTCCTCACTAGTTTGAGCTTCATCAGTTGATTCTTCTTCCTCGTTTTCTATAATTCTTACTACATTTATATCAACTTCTTTCAATATGTGTTCAGGATGTTCCAAATTATTTTCTAAAACTTCGTTCACTATTTAGTGAACACTGGAGATATCGTTTTGATATGCAACATCTAACACATTCTCTACTTCCACCCTACCCACAGGCTTAGTTTTTATTACAACCCACCAATCCGACTTATTCCGCCGCAATGGATAAGGAGCATAATACACTTGACTAACATTATGCAATTATGAAAGGATCATAGCGATCATACTCCCTAGTATGATTAACCTCAATTATGTTGTATTGATTGTGTACTCTTGTACCTCTTGTTGGATGTGGGTCAAACCACTTGCATCTAAAGAGTATCAATTTCTTAAATGGCCAACCTGTACATTCTAGTTCTATTATTTCTTTGAGCACACCATAATAATCAATATCTCCATCTTGATTGCCATCACCACCTTGAACCCACACCCCACTGTTGTTGCTATTTTTATTTTTAGAGCAATCCTCTGTATGAAACTTATAACCATTCACAACGTACTTAGACATTGTTGTGACCTCAACCCCAGGTCCCCAAGATACATCTTTCAAAAATTGATTTACACCATTATTTGGATCATTTACCTACATATAGTTAAAAAAATTCATAA